CTGGCTCCCGGGCAGGACCCCAGTTTCCCTCTGGGTTGGGTATTCTGGAAATCTGTTATAGTCATTAAACATCTTTCAAACACCTTTTAGATTCACCTTTCACTTATGACCAAGTTGCCATGGATGACCCTGCCAGGGGCAAAGTGTCCCAGACAACAAAGCCTCTTAAAGGTTGGTTTATGCTTGACGCGTCCGCGAGGTCCGCACGGCTCCGCACGGAAAAGTTGCATCATTTTGCGTCATTTTAACAACCACGCCTCTCCACCGCGCCTCCGCACGGCCCAAAATTTCCGCAACGTGCACCTAGAAAATTTTCTAACCACGCGGACGGTCGGACGCGGAAAAACATGGCGGACCGGCAAGAACTAGTATGGCAGAGGTTGGTAAATACAGACGTTTGTATGATTCAGCTCTCAGAGATCACCGTGATCAACATGTTGTTAATAATTCTTGGAGAGAAATAGCTCGCACTGTCGGAAAAGACAAGGACGCTGTTAAAAACTGCTGAAATGCCATGTTGTAAACATTCATTTTTACTTCTACTATGGTGTAGTGTTGGATGCATGCTGTAGAGCTCCATGCTGCCCCCTACAGTTTGGGAGAATATTGGCTCACTGCAGAAACAAGGCGCATGAACCATAAACGCTGCAAGTTGTGAAGTGCGTTCCATCCGCGAGCCGCATCACCAAGCAGAAAGTGAATGCGTCAAGCATAAACCAAGCTTAACAACAACCAAGAGAACCAAACACATCACTCCGGTTCTTAAATCTCTACACTCGTTACCAGTAAACTACAGAATCGAATTCAAAGTGCTTCTACTAGTTTATAAAACACTCAGTGGCACGAGGCCAAAATACATGTCGGGTCTCTTTCCTGTACAGTATATACGCCCAGCTTGTGGACCTCCAGATCAGAACCAAACAGGGTGACGCTGCTTTTAGCTCCTGTGCCACACACAGATAGAACCAGCTTCCTTATGACCTAAAATGTGCCCCAACTCCTGTAACTTTGAAATCAAAACTAAAAACTTTCATGCAATCATCAGCATTTGAATGAATGTTTCTTATACTGCACCTTCTTCACTCTAACAGCTCACCCTTTATCATTGTCTTTTTTTAAAAATGTATCTGGAATGAAGTTGTGTGTGTTTTAATTGTGCTGTCACGTTGATTTTAATGTTCATGCTATTTTCTATGGAAAGCACATTGAAATGCCTCTGTATATGAAATGTGCTGTATAAATAAAGCTGCCTTGCCTTGCCTCTAGAATCATCAGGGCACTCTAACTGGAGGAACTTGTTCTGTTTTTCCTTAGAAGTCAGGAACTCACTAAATAAAACATTAAGAAAAAATAAACACAAGAAAAAAATGACTTCCTTCCTTGATTTGAATCAATGAACAGAAAGATGTGTACCTCCACCCTCTCTGACACTAGATGGTGCTGTTGTCTCACAACATCTGAGGATAGGACACTTCCTGTGGGTTGTATTTGGTCTCACTCTAATGACAAAAATTTAAACTTTAACTTAAACAAGGGCATTTTTTTTACTTTTATTTTGCACTAAGTGTGCAGTGATTGGCTGGCTAGTCTGGAGATGTGGCAGATCATCAGGGCAGCACAAGTAACTGCTCAATTATCTTGTTGGCAAATCACAGCCTCATGGGGATCCACAGTTTGCATTTCACTAATAGCCCCAATTGTGTCTCAATCACCCAGATGGATGAGCTCCAGCTCCCGCAGCCACCCCGGACTTTATCGGCATGCCAACAAAGGAGTTTAAATGCTTTAGTCACAGTACACACACCTGATTCTCTTCCCCTTTTCGGGTTGTTTCCACATGATTATTTGAGGTTTCTTGTACTCGAACGAACATGACATCAGCAGGTTTCAGAAGCATTTAAAAAATCTATTAATTCAGTGGCCAAACTTTCACACAAGACATCAGATATGTAGTTGGGATGTAAACATTAGGGGCTAGAATGATCATTTTTAAGTTGTTCTGATCAGTTCTCCAGTATTTCTGGAAGTATTTTACTGTCTTTCTTTGTGCTTTAACTGTTTTTGTCTCTGTTTTAGTTCTTTGACCTAATAATTCTCATCTTAACTCCTGTGACTCATTTAGCCATGAAGGCTCCTGACTTCAGCGATGAGTCGACTCACGGCAGTCTTTAGAGCCAATTTCCATTTCTTTAGCTGAATCTATAAACCATACCAAATATACAATTCTGACAGAAAACATTATTTTAGAACCAATGCGCTGATTCCAAATGAGCTATTAGATAAACTCTTACAGGATGTAGCATCGGTCAGGTTCATACAGCAGAGGACTGGGACCGCCGAAAAGGAATTAAAGAGAATTTAGACTTTAATCTCAGACTGATTACTTTTTTCTCAGGATTTTGACTTGAACAATTCTGAGAAAAAAGCCAAAATTCTCTTTCTTTTCATTTTTTCTTTCAGTGGCCCTAATCCTCTTCCGTAGTTTCACACTCAGGTTTTAGCTAAAGCTTTTTAGACCAGGCTCTTCTTCTTTTGCCATCACTTCTCCACTTCCCTCATGATAAACGTGAACAGCAGAGAAAAACCCTTAAACACCTACAGAAAGCCTCAAATACTGTCGGTCCAGACCACTGTAACACTCCATCAAGACAGAAGCGATAAAAAAGTTCTAAATAACAATATATTTTACCCAAATAAAAATACACGTACATATTTTTTGTTTTAACGTAAGATTATTTCCTTCATTTAAATAATTAATTGTAATGGAGTAAGACAACAAGTAGTTGGATGAAGATCCACATCTTAACCAAACGGATCACAATGCAGCTCCTCTCTGCTGCAGGGGAACATTCTTCACCACCTCTTGCTGCACTCAGAAAGCCCGTGACTATGACAGTAACAGTGTGGGGTTGAACCTGTTTAATCAACACACACGATCATATTTCTGTGATGCATAAAACACTCTCCACAGAGGGGCCTTTGTGGAATAAAGAGGAAAAACACCCCAAACTCCTTGATTTTGATTTATATTTGAACCTTAAATATCATAAAGATGTATATTTGGCACAATGCACGACATGAACAGATATTCAGTTTTTTCTTGAAATGTGAAGCTATTCAAAAAACATCAAATCTGTGATGCTCTTCCAAAACTAGCCAACAGATGGCGACATTTCTCATCAGCAGAACTTTAAATAAAAATTTGAAGCAAAGGAACCTGGTGGCATGACAAATCCACAACGAGTTTGGTCGATTTACAGAATTTATATCTTTTTGTAATTTAAATCGTGTATTTTTTATTATTTGGCTTAAACTTGAGAGTTTATTTACTTAATGAAACAAAATTTTAATGGTTTTTAATATTCCAAAAATGTGAATAATGGAAAGGTCACATCATAACTGATGCAGCATGTATTATAGAAAAAACTCTTTTTTTCATAGAACATTTACATATTATCAAGTTTTTATGTCACATGAGCAATCTTATAAACATTTAAGCCCTAGAATCCATGAAACAGCTTCTTCAGTTTCAGACAAAACAAAACAGTTTAATAAAATGTAAACCCCTAGCATCATTTAGGAAGGCATAAATGCTGCCTTTCATGCCAGTTTTCAACTAAGTTATTGTTTTGTTGATAAAAAACATACAATTTATTTCTATGTGCAGTTCCACACAATTCTGCAAGATCAATTATCCCCCAAAACATTTGTTTTTAACAGGGGCGGATTTAGGACTGAAGAAGATCCGGGGCTTAACACACACACGCGCGCGCACACGTGACACGCACTAGTCAACATCATATATATTTGTCTTGTACCACATAATTTTTAATCTGAAGCTACATATGAAGCATTTTCAGGGCAGAGTATTGTTCCTGTTAGTGTTTAGTGTGAGATGATAGTAAATATTCCCTTTCTTTCTCCAACAACTTTACCTGATAAGCTAACTTTAGGCAAACCAGCAGCACAACAAATATTTTCAAATAAGACTCAAAAACCTGAGTCAGCACCAGTCTCATCAAAGCTGGGGCTCTGTCGCCGTACTTTTTGTCTAAAAACGTCCTTATGTCCATCTTCACTCATGCGTTTCAGGCAGAGAGTGTAGAAGAAGCCGGCTGCTGAAGGGCTTCTTCTTCACTGGTGGAGGCTCAGGCAGGCTGTATACAAACTACTGCCAGCTGCTCCCTCTCTGTTGGACTTTGGTACTGCATGTTACTTCCGCGATTTAGATCCAGGCTTTTCATGAAACATCCGGGGCTTCAGTCCAAGTAGCCGGGCCTAACGCCGCCCCTGGTTTTTAATGACTTTCATCTACTGCAACATGAAAATAGGCACATTTGATTTTAGCACCCCCTAGTGTCTGTTTGTAGTACCAAAAGCAACATATTCTCTCTGTGTGTTCGCCTTTTTAGCAGCATAAGCCGGGCGGACACTCTGCGACTTTTTCCCTATAACGTTCAGCTTCAATCTTGAGCTTCAGCTAAAACTGTACACAAGCAAAATATCAAACACGCCAGAAATTTGTGTAAGCTTGTGATTGCTGATTGGTAGCTGGTCACAAGGTGATAATCGCCTCCACCACACAATGCTCATTGTAAAACTCGACCGGATCTTGTAGATTCTCGCCTGAGGGGAAAATTGGTTAAAAAAAATACAAAATTCGTACGGTGTACTTCCGGCTTTAGGGTGCAGGAAACGTGCTGGAAACAGGCTGCAGCACCAGGTATGTCAGCTCAATATTCCAACAGAGCAACCCGCCACTCTGAAGTTGCAAGTTGCAAGGCTGGGTGGCCTTTCAGTAACCCTGTAAAGGGTCATTTTAGCACATACTGGCTCAAGAAAATTATTTTAAAATATAAAAAAGTTGCAAAGTATCCCTTAAAATATTTGCAAAGCTGCCAAATTATAGCTAGTAGTTCTTGATATGTTTCACAAGCATGTACAAGAGACATTTTTCCATCTTTTGCATGGTGTTTTAGGCGATTAAAGGGAAACAAAGTCAGTCTTTATCAAATTGTATTTTTATTACGTGGTCCATTGCACATTTAACATCTTGAATATTTGTAAAACGACACACAGCATGTGGATATTTTACATCCGACTATGACTTTGTCTATGTGTAAAATATGTGTGAGCTACACATGTGCAACAGCTCACATGTTTCATGTGAAGCAGGAGGCGAAGCAGCTGCAGATGAAGCTACAAAACAGAACAAGCGGTTTCTGTTTGACACTTATGGCCATTTATACAAACATAACTTTATGTACACAGTGATGATTCCATATTTACAGCATTGGAGGTGAACAAACACTAATAGATCAACCAAAGATGGAAGCCTTGGCACAGTTTGTGGTTACAGGTTGAGTGTGCTTTGCTGCTACATGCTGAGTTTCACCTGGAGATCACGCCGTGCGACTATGAATTTCAGTAAAATATCAAACCAACCTGAAATGATTGCACAAGACTAAATGCACCTATGTAAGATGTTTATGGACACTTAATGCTGTATGAAACAGATATTTCAAGCCACTGAATCCCTGCTACACTAACAATCATTGTATTTTTGTTAAACTAATTTCCGTACTTTTCATTATGAATTCATGTCTTAGAAAAATATGTTTTCTGTAATTATCATTATCATTTATGTGATTTGGAGAGGTATTTGATATAGAAAATCTCATTTAGCAGTGTTTCCTTCAGTGTACCTTACATTCATGATGGCTTCATATCAAAATAACACTTTATACCTCCAAATTTCCACCTTGGAACTTCCCCTTTTTTGCCTTTCTCTTCTCTTCAATAACTCTGATAAAATAAATCAACTGAGCCGTGCCTACTGCTTCTTTTCTGTGTGAGTGTTGGTTAATTACACATTTTTACATATAGTAAACACGTCTGTGTATATGAGCTATAGGAACTTTGTTTCTCTGTATATACTGATTTGTATTGTCCCACTCACAGATTTAAAGCTGCTCTACGTTGGTGCACATGACACACTGAGTGTAAACTAAGAAATGTTTTTGTTTTCGGCTTTACAAGAATATACAGCTATACACTCAAAAGTCCATCAGGTCACATTTCATGTGAGTCAGATTCAAGAGAAAAGTAATTTGGGTCAAGAACAATAATTAGTTCCTATGAAAGTAATTTCAGAAGTTTTTTTTTTAATTAAAGGTGATGCAAGAATGAAAAAAAACATTGAGAATGTATGAAAGTAGTGAAATGGTTTAAATTTACTTTTATTCATAACATTAGATTATAGCCTGTAAAACAGCTTGCTTATTAAAATATTCGCTGGATTGTGTATTTATTTATTTAAATTTCACATTTATAACATATTTTTCTAAAACATCTGCAAAGTAACAACCAGGCGTGTAAAGGCTGCAAGGTGCACGAGTATGCTAACAGCACAAAGTACATTTATTTCCCCAGAAGTCTCCTGGTCCAGAAACCCCGACAGGAAACCGATTAGCTGCTGTTTTCTGGATGAAGCTACTTGCTGATATGATGTTTGTTTAATACTTTGATGCAAATCTGCATGTCTTTCTTCATCTCTAATCCCTAAAATTAGCTGGTTGTTCACCACTGATCACTAAACAGTGCAACAGGAGCTTGTTTAAGTACCGCCTGGATAAACTACATCCTCCCTCACCTGCCTGAAACAAAACTGAGGACTAAGAGGGTAATCTTGAACTCAAGTTTTGTATCTTCTAAAACCAAAAGCTGTAAACAAAAACCAGCTACTAAGGAATTACACACTTTCACAATCAGTTGGGAGGTCAAAACTTCAAGTTAGATGATATCAAATAACTGGACAGATATTTGTGAAAATCCAGAGCCCGCTACTATCAGCACAGTGGCCAGTTGCTGTCTGCCTCAGCAGGGGGAGGAGGACATCTGTTCATACTCTGGACATTTGAGGAGGGCAGGGTAGTTGGAGGAGTTCATCTGAAGGGAGGCCTCGGAGGAGATGGAGGAGGCACTGCGACCGCGTCCCGCCCAGGCATCCGGATGGAGGAACTGGCCCGAGTAATCTGAGCAGTTGCTGAGGCGAGGCTGGTAGAAGCCCTGATGTGGTCTGTACATCTCTTCTGCGGTGTAGCGCTTCATGAACAGGTACACTGACATGACACCTGCAGTCTAAAAACAAGAGAAAAGCATAAGCCCAATGTTACAAAGTAACACTTCATAAGTTTCCCGCTTCTTCCCCTACTGGTTAAAAAGCGGGATTACAACTGTTGTAAACAACCCTGCTGCAGGCTTTGCAGACAATGATGTCATCAGACAAGGTGTTTTATTTAGCACGTCTTTATGAATGTTTGAATATTGGCAGTGCAGAAACGAATCCCGAAAAGTAGGACTTTACTATTTTTTTGTGTTGGTTTTAAACTGAAATCGATCAACAATTCATTTGTTTTGTCAACCAAAGTCAAATATTTTACTCTGTGTCTCATTAAGGACAAAGGCACGTTATTGTGGCAATATGCTCAGTACGGTCTCCTACAGGGGACAATGTTGGTAGAGGAATGAAGTTCCTATGACCAGAGGGCTGCAGGTTTGAGCCCTGCTCAGTATGTGGCAGTCTCGGTCGTGTCCTTGGGCAAGACACTTCACCCTTCTTGACCGGTGGCAGCCTCGCCTTCATCAGTGCGCCCCAGGGCAGCTGTGGCTAAGATGTAGTGTTGAAGATTGATTTTCACAATGAATCAGCATAAGCTAATCAATACAATCTTTTTGAGAATTAGAATTTTTACACTTAACCAATATAACCTTTTTCTGCTTAAACGAATATGACCAGTTTCAGTCTAATTGCTTTCAGTTTATGAATGTGTTGTTCAATCATTTAATCTTCATTCGGTATTAGGTCTGAGGAACATTTTACAAATTATTCTTATTTCTTACTGTGTTTGCTTTGAAGGAAATTAAACTTTGCAGAAGTGCTGCTGACCAACAGAGATAACTTTGCAGAAAACAATGGTGCTGTAAGTTTCTATAGCAACGGCCTGACTTAAGTAAAACTTGTGATGAACCTAAAGGTGAAAAGAAAAATAACAGGAAACATATGTCTGAAGTGCAAGCAGAAGATGGCTAGAACACAACTGAAATGGGGACGTGTTTTATTGGGTGAAGATAAACTTTTGGCCTACTGTTGCTGAGCCAAAGATCACCAGGAGTTCTGTCTCAGAAAAGTCTTGGCTGTTGATGGGCAGGTAAAATCAGAATGTGTTTTAGACTGTGAACTCATGTGGACCGCCCACATGAAGAGGAGTGGTATATGACTGGGAATGCCCCAGTCTATTGTGGAATTGTTGTAAAAAACATGATTTCAATAAAAGGGCTGACGAGAAAAGTCATAAGTCAGAAGATACATCAGCAGGGGACTGCTTGTGTTCTTTTCACCTGAAGCCAACCAAAGATTTGTGTGTGTGTGCATATTATTTTGGGCTTAAAGTGTAGATCTCTCCTCAGGGTCACCTCCAAAAAACCAGGGAGTGGACAGATGAAATAATTTCAACCAATTCAGAAGCTCAACACAACAAACAAGTGAATGTGTTTGTAAATTAATGAATTGTTGTGTTGTAAAGTGCCTTGGAGGGTTGTAGAGCTCTAGACAGTGGTATATAAATACAGGCCATTTACCATTTATGCCCAGGATGATGAATAAAATGTAAAAATGGTCTTTACTGGAGCAATAACTCATTTCCCTTTAAAATAAGTCAAATTAGAAATACATCTCTCTCACAGACTGACTTATCTCTTTGTTCTTGTATAAATGAACGTTCATGGCAGCATCTCCTTGCAGTTTCGTGAGCCTCACTTTGTGAGCAGATTGGCCCCAATTGCAATTCGGTAAATGTGTGTTTCATTGTCTCTCGCTTCTCTTCGACTGCAGGTATTAGGTGATTGATAAAATCCCTAACATAATCCGGCTCGAAGGACCAAATTATGTTAGGGATTTTATCAGTCACCTAATACCTGCAGTCGGAGAGAAGCGAGAGACATTTAAACAAACAAGCTACTGTCTGCAAAAAGGGCAGTTGTAAGCCTCAACCATTGCTTGAGCGTCTACCCTTATTCTCATCCACAGTGACAGCCGTGTGCAACCTGTAGCTTTAAATTCATCTGATGTTTCAATAAATTCTACTGATATTTTATGTATATTATATGGTCTTGCTAATCCTTCCCAATCTCTTTATAGGAACTGCTATGAATTGTAAAATTGTCGCATCACAGTATCTGCACATCAAGATGTATGTAATCGCTTCCCTTATGATTCTGATGATGTTGAATTAACTGATGTTCCATTATCTCACTTGTTTCTCTGTAAACTGCTGTTTGATGTTATTGTCAGTTGTGTTTGCCTTCTCATGTTTTATTATTTTTACTTGTTCTTTTATTTTATTATTTTACTTTATTCGTCCTTTGATTTGTTATTTTCTTTTTGTTTGGTTATCCTATACAGATAAACAGGAGGGAATATGTTATAGAAATTTTATGTTCTATTATTTTTTGATCATTAATCCTATTAATTGAATGTAACTGCCTTGTACCTTGTAACTTCCCATACACACACACACACACTGTCTCTCTCACACAGACTGTCTTATCTCTTTGTTCTTGTATAAATAAACTCTCAGGGCAGCATCTCCTTGCAGTTTCGTGAGCCTCACTTTGTGAGCATATCTGCCCCAATTGCAAATCGGTAAATGAGTTTCATTGTCTCTCTTTTCTCTTTGACTGCAGGTATTAGGTGACTGATAAAATCTCTAACATAATCCGGCTCTAAGAACCAAATTATGTTAGGGATTTTATCAGTCACCTAATTCCAAACTGTAAATTGTCTGTTTAATTGTCTCTCTTTTCTCTCTGACTACAGGTATTAGGTAATTGATAAAATCCCTAACACATACATACAAATTTAATGGGCAATAATTAAGACAATGTACTAAGTGTTTATATAAAAGAAACATGAAGCAGACATTTTGATTTAAAAATACCCTAAATTACTAAAGATGTGGCTTACCTCTGTGAGCAAAAAAGAAATGGCAGCAAAAGCAAAGGACCAGCCGTACTTGTAGCTGAAATAGGCCTCATTAGTTTTGGTTCTGTTCAGCATTTCGTCATTAATGTTGGAGATGTACAAAACCAGACCAACTACCAGAGACAAGCCTGCAGGTGTCACAGAGAACAGGCATTACAGGTATTTTGATGGCAAAAACATTTCAGCAGAATGATCTGATTTAACAAAACCAATCACACATAACTGTGTTTCTAAAGAATAAGGACCGTACCCGAAAGGATGAAGAAGATTCCAGAAACAAAGGCCAGGATGGTGCGGTGTGGCCGAATGTGGCCGATGTTACTGAGGACGAAACCGATGAACATGAAGAAGAGACTAACCAGAGGAAAGGGCGTCGAAGAACGAATCATTTCTAAAATAACAGAAGGGAAGGAGAACAAAGTGAAGTCACTTCCGAGATTTATATCAAGTTTTTAGTGTCATAAAAGAAGTTTATAAAATATATTGCCTGGCCCCAAAAAATGTAACCACTTGGATTTAACTAAGCAAATAGGTAGGAGCCTTTTATTGGATAATTACAGCATAGGCAGTTATCTTCCAGCTGGCAACAAGTTATTTAACCCCAACTGGTGCAAGGAGTTGCTTCTCATTTCTTAAACAACATGTGGAAAGACATCTGGTGGTCGTAGAAAATATGTTTGGGAAGGGTCAGATCATTGGCATCAGGCAGAGAAAACATCTAAGGAGATTGCAGAAACGACTAAAACTGGGTTAAGAATGGTCAAACGCATTATTATAAACTGGTCTGATGAGTCCTGATGGACCCTGTTCCAGACTGATGGTGTATCAGGGTAAGAAGAGAGGCAGATGAAGTGATGCACCCATCATGCCTAGTGCCCACTGTACAAACCTGTGGGGGCAGTGTTATGATCTGGGGTTGCTGCAGTTGGTCAGGTCTAGGTTCAGAGACAGGATGTGCTCCAAGAATGAGGTCAGCTGACTACCTGAATATGTTGAATGACTAGGTTATGTCCAGACTGTAACCCCATTGAGAATCTTTGGGATGTGCTGGAGAAGGCTTTGTGCAGTGGTGAGACTACCATAATCAATGCAAGATCTTGGTGAAAAATTAATGCAACACTGGATGGAAATAAGTCTTGTGACATTGCAGAAGCTCATCAAAACAATACCACAACGAATATGTGCTGCAACCAGAGCTTAAGGTGGGCCAACACCATTTTATTTGGTGGTGACGTTTCAGAGGAGTTAGGCAGTGCATATTCCTCAATTGGCAGAAATCCACATGGAGATGTTTCATGGTCTTAACTCTTTGGTCTTGGATAGAAGGAACCTATTTTTGAATTGAGTAAAGGGCAAAGTACTGCACAAAGTAAACAGAGCCAAGAGTGCATGTACATATCTCTCTGCCCTCTGTTGTGTTCTCCTTATTTCAACCATCTCAGAGGACCAGACGTAGCAGGCCACAGCTCTTTAAACCCTGGATTGAAATCTCACCTTTCCTACTAAAAGTTTCAATTCAGTATAAAGTTAAAGGTTTGGTTTACTCATTTATTCAATACATTTCCAGTGTTCTCTAGTAAAAAGATGCCTTATGAGTCATAAAAAAAATCTGTGAGGGTCCTGTTCTGAGATTCAGAAGTTTGCTGTGCAGAGGTGGGCTGAAAACAGCAGGTTTGCTCATTAATATTAATGATATGCACACACCTTGCTTTTGATTGGCTAACAGAATGGGTTCAGCCATGCTGCAAAGGCACTATCACCAATACACTCTTCGCTCTCTCCCCTCGCTGCAAAAAACAAAACACAAAAAGACTTCCTGTGGGCGGCCACAAGCCAAGATGGGCAAGGCCATGAATGCAAATTCACAGTGTGACATAGATCTGTGAGAATTTTCAAATTCACCGTTTTATTTTCTTTCAGAAGCTAATGCAGGTGATAGGTGTAGGAGACAGTCAACCACACTTTTAAAGTCCCATCATCACACACGGGTGAAATTACATCTCCACATTTGATCCATCCCCGTGGCAGCAGAGAGCTGCAGCATTGGCTGTGCTTGGGAACTTTTTGGTGGTTTAACCCCCCAATCCAACCCCTTAAAGCTGGGTGTCAAGTGCAGGGGCATTGGGTCCCATTTTTAAAGTCAATGACCCGATTGTGGATTTGAACCCCGATCTCCCAGTCTCAGGTTAGACACTCTACCACTAAACCACTGAGATGAATATCCCCATACGCAAAAAAGGGAAAAATAGCTTAGAAAAAGGGAAAATAAATACATATAGGAACATTATTAAATAATTACTTTGAGTCAGTATATGTCCCATGTTTACATAGAAATTTTAAAAAATGAAGCTCTTCAATTTTCACTTGTTTAATAAAAAGAAGAGCTGATTTTTTGTCACAATTCATTATTTTGGCCACACCCACACCTGTCTCTTTCATTGTTTCACCTTTTTACATCATTTTTCGTACACATCAGCTCAACCAATTATAAAGTTATCCTAGAAAGGCTCTTTCTTCTTGGTAATTTGTAAATAAATGTAAAAATATTCTCTTTGACTTTCCTGCTTTCAAGTTCCCAAAATGTGCTCCGACGGCCCTAAGGGACACATTTATGAAGCGTGTTGTTGTTTTTAACCTGCTTTATTTTTTTTCTTTTTTGTGGGACAATTTGTTACATCTTTGACATCAAAGATTATTTTTAGGCCACATGAGGACAACAGAGCTATCAGATCTGAAGTGGATGTCTGAGGACTGGTTATTCTGTGTCGCAGCATGTTCCCCTGCAGGAGGTGTTTAAAAAATGTAAACGACTCTTCTACATTTTTCATACACACAGAGCTCTTATCTTCAGTGGTTAGTTCATAGGGGTTGGGTCAGAAATAAATCACTTGAAGAAGATGGAATGGAACACGAGTGCACTTGGGGTAAAATAACAAGAGGGTTAAAGAGTTAGACACTTAAAATGGTTAAATTTGACCCTGTTCTATTATAAAAACAGGGAAAGCGTTCATAATTTCTATTTCTCCAAAATCCGTCCCCTGGCCTCTACAGCAATAAATAAATAAATCATTTTTGCAAGCCTAGAGCGTTGACCAGTAGACTTACATATGGGAACTGTCAATCAATGAAAATGCAACCCAGTCAGATTGGCACTACAACAAACATAAAGAAGCCAAAGGTTTCAATGGAGCAACCAAAACAGTTATGGATTCCCAATCTCCGTTCTACTTCTCAAAGAAAATCGTCGTCGTCGTCGTCTTCCTCCGCTTATCCAGGTCCGGGTCGCGGGGGCAGCATCCCAACTAGGGAGCTCCAGACCGTCCTCTCCTCGGCCTTCTCCACCAGCTCCTCCGGCAGGACCCGAAGGCGTTCCCGGACCAGATTGTTGATGTAACCTCTCCAACGTGTCCTGGGTCGACCCGGGGGCCTCCTGCCGGCAGGACATACCCGAAACACCTCCCCGGGGAGGCATCCAGGAGGCATCCTGACCAGATGGCCAAACCACCTCAACTGGCTCCTTTCGATCCAGAGGAGCACATGGGCTCTTCCAAGTGTGGACCCACCACCCCGCAGGAGGAACATGAAGGGTCCGGTGCAATGTGGATCGGGTGGCAGACCAAGGTGGGAGCCTTGGCGGTCCGATCCCCGGACAAGAAAACTGTTTTTTTGGGATCTCAAAGAAAATATCCGTTTAAATTTTTTTATCTCCTAAACTAATATAAATGGTTCTACGCTGTGACATGAAACGGTAATCAGTGAGAGAAAATAATTTAGGGAATCAGGGACTAAATTAGACCTACCTGTTGTAAAGTATTTTGATTTAAAGATATGCACTTTTGTTCCTATGTTTCGATATTAAAGCTGCTAGAACACATTTTGAAACAAAAAAAGAGCTTAAAATATTGTTTTTTTCATGTCTCTTAACAATGTTCTGTTGTAGTGTAGGTATAAAGATGTTGTGGAGATTAAAGTGAAAATGAAATAAGTAATAAAACTATTCTCTCGCATTTGTCTAAAAACCTCCATCAATAACACATTTCAGACTAAACGCAACTAGTGAACCATCTGATTGTTGGTCTTGCCAAACCGCAGCAATATCCTGCGTTCTCCATTCATGACACACTTGCATATTTAGCAACAGAACACCACTGGTGTAAGAGGTTCTCAGTTCAATAATATTAGAAAAGGAGAAACAGCTGGCTGCTACCACTTCAACTTTAGGAAAAACTACCAGAGTCCTACAAAGAAAAACACCATTTGAAGTCACGGACAACAAAAGATGAAATCTTGCACAAACTGGTTAATACCTAGGACACACCGGAGACAGACACACTGTTGCATAGTCATTTTAAATAGAAGCCATTATAGTTAATCATTCAATCAATCAATCAAAGCTTTATTTATAAAGTGCTTTCCTGTTGGGAAGCCCAAGGCTTTACAGCACAAGTAAAACGGCAATTCTGATCACGTAAAAACAATAGAGTCACTTCCTGTTCTCAAGTCCTGTGTGATGTTGTGACTATCGTGCGATTTTCCAAGAAGCGCTTAGCATCGCAGCACATCTTGTCCGACCACTTGATTACGTAAAACCGCGGGTGCGACGCAGCACGTCTGCCTCCGGTGTGCCCCAGGCTTAAGTGCGAAGAGTTACTTACTGAGTACACTGACGGTGGACTCAGATGTAATCTGGACATTGGTAGGCATCACGTACTCGATGGTAAAACATCTTCCTTTCTCCTCACCTGAAACAACAGAGAAGGAAAAATGACATCTTTCAAAAATATTTGAATAAGTTTTCCTCAGTGTTAGGGTAACACCAGATAGTGTTTTAAAACTTTAAGCTATAGCTTGGTGAGTTAGCAACTTTACCAGTTTCATATTTGAAACCACTTTGCAGCCCTTTATGGCCAGATACTGCACTCAGCAGCTTGTTGAAGTGGGTAGGTGTCCTATAGGGGGAACTCTCTACCTGATTTACAGCTGTTAGCTGTAACGCTAGCATTTTCAGTTTGCCAATCATCACTAAAAAGCACAAGAAGAATTAAAAGAAGTTTGCTTTTTCTGTTGACATCATGGAAGAGCCTGGAAGTAAAAGTAAGAGAGTAATGTCTTTGGAGGCGAAGCAAATAACTAAAACCGAAGTAACAATGACGCTGCCAACACTAGTGTGAGAGAGCTAAAGGAGGCTACTAAATCACGAACTGATAGTGACCTGGCTTTGTTGCTGCTGGACTTGTTAGCAATATTTTTTGTCCAACAGTGTGGATCTTTTTACTTAGTGGTTTATTTTAGTATTAGTTGGCTCATGTTAATGTTAGCTTGTTGTTAGCACTAGCTACAGCAGGCTGCAGCAAGGTTGTTTACAACAGTTGTAATTCCACTTTCAACCATAGGGCAGAGGAGCAGAAAACTGCTCAGTGTTACTTTAACTGAGAAAAATAAACAGTGCAGGCAAAAATAAAGGTGGAACATCCCTTTCTATTATCCATAAAACCATACTGTGTGCTGTAAACAAACCAGTTTTGTGTAAAATCGGTGAATGAGTTTATATTTTATCTGAGTTTGATCATTAGAATAATATCAGATTTTACATCTGAATATAACCCACAGCTGTTGCTGTAAGAATGTGTTTGAGGAACACTCAGTTATATGCTAACACACACACACACACACACACACACACACACACACACACACACATCAAAAGCTGGCAGCAAGTAACGTCTTTCTCAGCATTTAATTAACCCTACACACTGTGAGGTGTTAGGTGATATTTTGTGATTCAGCATCACTAGCTAGATTTCAACATGCAGCTAATGAAAGGAATGATTAATGTGTTCATAAGACTACTCTTTAGGTTACAGAAATGATTTAGATTTAGTAGGAGGAGCTATTCTCCAACCAGGAGAAGGCCTAAAGGAACACCCAGGACACGCTGGAGAGACTATGTGTCACAGCTGGTCAGGGAATGCCTTGGGATTCCCCAGGAGGAGCTGGTCCAAGTGGATGCGGAGAGGGAAGTCTGGGCCTCTCTGCTTAGGCTACTGCCCCCGTGACCCAACCCTGGATAAGCAGCCGAAAATGGATGGATGGAGTAATTTTTATGCATCTAAGTAAAAAATAAACCAAACAAAATTAACTAAACATAAAAAATCTGTTAATTATTTTAAAGTGTTAATTAATGTCTGATATTATCGACCAATATTGGCATTAAAATCTAATATTAGAAATTATGCATTTTACTCATTTAATGACACATCACATTATACATCAAACTCTTCGGCTACTTCACTTCTCACTCACAATATCAAAATATACCAGATCCCAGGTACAGTTTTTGGGAAAATGTGTTTGTTTGTCACAACTGGCCTAACTTAAACTGAAATAGTTGTCATATTTTGCTGAGAAATTTTTGAACGTTTCAGTATGCACAATAGGAGATATGTGATGTGATGTTGGTTACTTAAAAAAAATTCTGTTGTGTTGTTTTCTTTTAAAGGTGGTGACCCGCAGATAATTGTATCAATTTATATCAGTGTCTGAAATTAAGAGTTAGACCATACCTGTTTATCTTATGTTGGTAAAAACGGCGATATCAAACATCCTACAGATGATTAATTTGCAATCTAGAAGTCAGAGGACTTTAACATTCAGTCATCAAAACACTTATTGTAAGACACACACGTGGTAAAAAAAATAACTACTAGTACTGAAAAAGAAATGGAAAGTATTTGTCCAAACCAAAACATCACATTGCTTGATTAAATTAAAAGATCTACAATGGAAGTCATTTTGACATCTTATTGTTTGTCTCTTCTATGAAAATTTGCTTCACTTAGAGGATGCAACTATATTTTCTTCACTGCCCGAATGTTCCCCAAAATGAGCACCCTAATGCTGCTAAATCTGCCACATCAATAAAGCCAGCCAACATCAGTTGTGCAAACTCACACATGACTGCTGGTGTGATTGTGAGCAATTAGCGTTTCTGGGTCAAACACTGTACCAGAATAGCTAAAAGCCACTCCATTCCCTCAAAAGATACAATGAACCATTTGTTAATGTGTGGCCTGATGTCCAAAGTGGCCTTCAATGTGGAAAAGTAACATCTGTTATCGAATCACAGCTGGATTTGGTCACATAATCATCATGACTGAATGATTTACCCCAAAATAGCAGATCCACCAATCAACCAGAGCCACCAATGAAGACACAAATACAAAAGAATGGCTTTTTACATTTAGCATAAAATGGCTAAGGTGAACCTTCACACCAAAGAAGTCTAGAAACTGGCAGTTAAATGATTGAAATTATCCTCTGTTGGGCTTAAAGATTGGCTACTGATTAATGTTCTGCCTGCAATTCTTCCCAAAAATCTGCTATACCATACCATATCATACAATATAATACCATATCGTATCGTATCGTATCGCATCGCATGCCATGTTTATTTCTAAAGTACATTTTAAACTGGCATGACAGCTAACCAAAGTCCTGTACAGTAAAGAACAAGGCTCCCTATAGTACCCATCCCCTGGGGAAGCGGTGAGCTGCAGACACGGCCGAGCTCAGGAGCCGTTTAGTGGATTAACCCCCAAATCCAACCTTTCAATGCTGAGTAGCAAGCAGGGAGGCATTGGGTCCCATTTTTAAAAAAAAGTCTTTGGAATGACGAGCTTGGATTTAAACTCACAATCTCCCAGCCTCAGGGCGGACACTCATACTACTAGGCCACTGAGCTAAAAGACTGAATACAACAACCAACAAAATAAATTAGAAACAGGTTAAAAGAGTCATGATAGTGAAATGACTAAACATCATACACTAAAAATTAGGGATGCACGATATATCTGCATTGGTAATCTGATGTGTAATTGTTTAGTCCTGTAACAGTGATGGTAATCATCTCAGAAGCATAAATGTGTGTGGTGTGTGTGTGTATATAGAACATATTGCAAATTCCACTTTATAGTGATAAAGCAAAACATTAAAAAAAATCTGCTTGTATAATTTCAGTCTATACAAAATTTGCTGATTTCTGAAAAATAAATCAATATCTGCCAATATCGTTATCGACCATTACAGTAATATTAATATTGGATATTGGTATCAGCCCAACAAATAATTTTGGTGCATCCCTAATAAAAAGTATCTATCAATATATCAAGCCTCAAAGAAAAGAGGAGAAATGTTCGATTATTTGCTGATGACACATTGTTTTATTAGAATTAGATTCTGTTTGACCTGTATTTAAAAAGCAAGTCACCCCCAAATAAACTTTTTTTTTTGCTGATAAACTAAATAAACGAGTGTCTAATCGTGCTGCAGACACGTGTCGTCAATAATTTGGCACTTCAGTGCATCTTAGTTAAAATTTAAATATTCTGCCTAAAACTGGCAGTGTTGTGCCGTTGTCAGGTAAAAACTCTGCACTGTATTTTAATTTAAATCTGCCACCGCTATTGGCTAAGAAGTATGCTATGATGTAAACTGGTACATTATGATGTCACAATCCTGTCGTGAGCCTGAGTGTGTGTGTATTTGTTAGCGGCTCCGCCCTCTCGGTCTGCCAGGCAACAGCATGTGTTGCATTTTTCAAACATGAAGTGGGAGTGGAGTTAGACTCTGGTAGGGGTGACTTGCTCTTTAAGACAGAAATGAGTCCGACTGACATAAATCCACAGCCTCATAATGAACAGAGTAAAAACAAAAGTTGATACCTGGTTTACTCAGTTAAACACTTGTCTGGAAGGGGTTTGCCTCTAAGAAAAAAAAATCAAAAACTAACAGTTAGTTTCTTCCTCGCAATAATCCAGATGTCCAAGCATGCCTGTAGGATACTGGAGCTGAGGAGGACAATTATATTTTGAAGGTCCCTAAATCATGCATTGCAAAAAAGCAAAATAATAATGCCTTTAACATCTTGCAAGAGTGTAAAGTTAGGAACAAAGAGGGCTTCTGTTTAAATTCAGAGTGCTTCTAGTGAGGAAAGAGGCCTTAGACAGCTATCTACCAACTGGAATAAAGACAAATGACAGTTTCAAAGGGAACAATAGACACCTGAAATGCTGTTTGAGATCGCGCTCATGCGATGAGGACTTAACAGCTGGGCCAAAAGCAACAGAGGGGAAGAAAACTTTAAAAAACAACATCATGCTTGAGTATTAATCTGCAGCAAATAATCTAGGAATCTGTACCAGTAGCAGTTATAAAGAGAAGACGGGAAATATAAAAAGGAACACAACTTCATGTGCATATTGAACAGACATTACGTTCAAACGTCAACATTTACCAGAAAGTCGCATTTGGAGTGCTAACTCTTAGATGAGAAGCAATAAACCTTATTTGTATGTCATGACACTGTCATATTTTTCATTTCCAATTTTTTTTATATGTGATCCCCATTGAAATGATGGGGATCTTAATGCAATATGTTTCATAATGAAAACAAGTGGTTTCACTGGAGCAGTTCGCAGCTTGCAGCTGAGTGTGAAGTGGCTGGGATTAAGATCAGCACCTTCAAATCCAAGCCAAAAAATGGGTAGAATGTTTTCTCCAGGTCAAGGATGAGGTCCTGCCTCAGCTGGAGAAGTTTAAGTATCTCAGGGTCTTGTTCACGACTGAAGGAAAGATGGAGCGCGAGATCGATAGGCAGAATAATGCTGCATCAGCGTACCGGCCTGTCGTGGTGAAGAGAGACCTGAGTCGGACAGGTGAAGTTCTTGATTTATTGGTCAGCATATGTTCCTACCCTCACCTATGATCATGAGCTTTGGGTTACCAAAGGAATGAGATCACAAATACAAGCGACCAAAAATACTTTTCTCCACAGGGTGTCTGGGCTCTTCCTGAGAGATAGGGCTCTCAGAGTGGATATGCTGCTCCCCCACATTGAGAGGAGCCAGTTGAGGTGGCTCGGGCATCTGGTCAGGATGCCTCCTGGAAGCCTCCCTGGTGAGGTTTTCCAGGCACGTCCAACCAGGAGAAGACCTAAAGGAAGACCCAGGACACGATGAAGGGACCATGTTTCTCGGCTGGCCAGGGAACGTTTTAAGCCTAATTTATACTTCTCTGTCTGCATGGGAAGACATGCAAAACCATTATCAGTCGGCTTAGAGGTCCTCTGATAGGCCAAACTTTTTAACAGTCCATCAAAAGTGATATAGACTGCAAGCTTGTGATTGGTCAGGATGCCGCTTCTTTTACATTTGTCAACATCACCACCATTGCCCCCTGGACGGAAATAATGGGAAATGGGGGTTTAGAGGTGCCAATCACACGAAGAGGTAGAGGGAAATGAGGGACAAATGTGTCCGTGTTAAAAAGTCTCTGAAATTCATAAAACAATGTAAACACAGCAGATAGACTACACTGGACTGGATAACTGTAATGGTGGCAGGATACCTCAGAAAAGCACTACGTCCTCATTTGTTTTGAGGGGGAATTCCTTTGCAATGATCCCCAGGTGACAAAGAAGTCTGAAGGGAAAACATCTCCATCAGTGCGTGTGTGCAACTCTGCACTCGAGCTGATGGAGATGTTTAAATCAGGCTTTGGGATTCTCTTGGCTGTGAAAAATGGAAGTCTTGGCCTCTCTTCCAAGGCTACTGCCCCAGCAACCAGCAATCAGGTAATTGTAAGACAACCAATGGATGGACATTATATCCTTTCAACATGTAGTTTACGTTTAGAGTGGATAGGGTGCTGTATTTCCATTATGCCTTAAAAACATGTTGCTTTTAGACAAGCGTAAAACCAGAACTGCTCATATGACTTTAACAGAGGAATATGACTGTTAACCTATTCAAACATAGAGAAATCTATCTAATGTGTTACATAGGGGTTTCCATTTAAATACACCTAAGGCAATTTTTTGAAATGTCACTACTAAGAATGATTATTAATCAAACTTCCTTCATTGCCCCCCCCCCCCCCCCCCCCCAAAGTGAATCAGCTTTTATTTTTATATTTTACTTGAGCAAATTCAAGTTTATTTATAAAGCGCCAAATCACGACAAGAGTCGTCTCAAGGCACTTCACATAATAAAAATTCCAATTCAGGTCAGTTCATTAAGCCAATCAGAAATAATGTTTCCTATATAAGGAACCCAGCAAATTGCATCAAGTCACTGACTAGTGTCAGTGACTATACAGCAGTCATCATACTAAGCAAGCATGCAGCGACAGTGGAGAGGAAAACTCCCTTTTAACAGGAAGAAACCTCCAGAGAATCCTGGCTCAGTATAAGCAGCCATCCTCCACGACTCACTGGGGATCGAGAAGACAGAGCAGACACACACACACACACACACACACACACACACACACACACACACACACACACACACACACACACACGTAATGTGTCTACAGTTATATTGTGATGTCTTAGTAAATATTCTATTTGGTGAAAGATAAACTTTATTGTATTTATCCTAGTGGATCTATAATTAAACGGATAAACTAGTATTAGCACATCAAAAGTCAAGCACACCAAAAAGTTATTATCAGGAGAGAGAGAATGTTTAAGTGGTTAGCAGCAGTGTGCTAGTCGATGGCCCCCTCCATGAGGCCACCACAAACATCGTCCTAACTCACCAGCCAGGAAGCAAACCCTCCAGAGTCCAGAGTGGAGCGACATGCGCATCTCAGTGCTCTGGTTGAGAGGAAGGATGACTCCTTCTTCGAGGTAGAGCCAGTAGTCAGTGCTCACGGCGATCCCCAACAGGCCGAGGCCGCAGACAGCGAACACGCTGCTCAGCAACGTCAGCACCTTCCTGCCACATAGGCTCATACCACAGCCTCAATAGCAGGGATGCACCACGGGCAGAAAAGAGAGCTGCAAAAGATGGCAAAAAAAAAGACATGGTTAAAAAAGTAAGGAAAAGAAACTATGAACAATGGACAACCCTGAGCATTCTCTTCACAAGACTGTCTGACAAGAGAAGAGTGTCTTCAGTCAGAGGCTTCTTCAGTTTGGCTGCAACACTGACCGCTACTGGAGATCCTTCCTGCCAACAGCCATTGTAATATACAACAACTCTTTGATGACTTGATTATTATTATTATTCTGAGCTACTACAGCAATCAGTTTCCCTCTGGGATTAATAAAGTATTTTTGAATTGAATTGAATTGAATTGAATGAAAGAGAAAAAAGGTAACCCGTCTCTTGAGATACGATTACATTATTACTATTGGTGCTGTAATTTCCATGATTACTTTCTTAACTGAGTGCTTCTGGGGTTAATTATTACTTCATCTTCTTTCAAACTAATTTGTCAATTAATTAAATACCCATGGAGACGGGTTAACAAGGGTCTGCAGCTAAAGCTAAACAGATCCTAAAATGACTCCATGAGGTACATTTTACTGGATAAAAGTACGAGTAGATGGTTCAGAAGAGAACACTGAATTAAATGTCTCCTTGACTGAACTTTGCTTTGTTTGCTAGAAATATCCATTGAATCATTTAAATCCCAGCAGAAATGTCTGGCTCAAATATCGACACAAATTGCTTATAATGCACTGTTTTCTCTTTTTTGTACACTGGTGATGTGAAGGAATACGAGCTATAGACGCTGTCAAGGAAGTGTCATTGAATGAATGCGCCGCACACAAAACCACATGGATCGGTTTGTGAAAAGTCAAGCGCCACACACTCCACGGAAAGAATGGATTCTGCATAAAGAGTTCCCAGCGTGCAGTCACACTGAGAACAGAGGAACTGGGAAGGTGGAGGGAATGTGTGATAGGATTTTGAGCTTGGCATCTCACATCTACATCTCTACAGACTGAGACTTTGTATCATGGCTGCAACCGAAGCTCCTCTGGAACAAATTAGTGACGTGTTCATTTGAATGTTAACTAGAAGTAAGAAGCCTTGACAAACAGAAGACAGAGAAAAAATGCTGATGTTGGGGATTTTGGTGAAACTAAATGTTTTTTTACATCAACAAATGCTCACGGCTTTTAGACCAAGTAGGCAAAAAAGGGTTTGCAGTTTTTTACTATATGACAATTTACATTTTCTAATATTTTATGCTTACTTAGTAATGTAATAGTTCATCTAGTGACCATTTTATAAACTTTAGTAGAAATTGTAAGAAACTAAGGCTGCTGTGGCCCAAGACTCTGGAACTCTCCCCCCCTGAGCCTGAGATCAGTGGTCTCCTTTAAAAAGCAGCTGAAGACTCACTTGTTCAAGCTGGCTTTCGTCTGACCTTTGTCACCCCATCTCTCTTTATTCTGCTCTCCCCACCTATTCCACCTTCCTCAGGATCCACTGACTACCCTCTTTCCTATTCACTCTGTCTCTTTCTTAACATTTTTTCTTTTAAATCCCAATTGCCTATTTTTGCTCATTTTAAATATATTAAACATTTTCTAAATGCTTTTTTATATTTTTACATTTTTTTGATTTTGTGAAGCGCCTCGTGATTTTTATCTTGAGAGGCGCTATAGAAATGATATTTTCTTCTTCTTCTTTCTTCTTTCTAAGTGATTATTTCACAGCTGTTTATCATTGGACAATCATTCTCCCACTGGTAAGCACGCACACCTGTTCTCACCTCAGCTCCCTTCACTTCCCTTTGTTTTTAAACTCCTGTTTCAATCAATTAATCAATCAATTAAATTGTATTTACATAGCGCCTTCCACTTCCTTTGTGGGAGCCCAAGGCGCTGAACCCATGGACGTAGTTTTTGGGGGACAGGGACCCCCCCCCCCCCCCCCCCACACACACACACACACACACACACACACACACTTTTTCCAAAGTACATTTTTGTCCCCTGAACTTTTTATCATCCAAAAACAATGTTACGCTACATTAATAACAGTGGTGGAGCACTAGGAACAAGCGGAAAACAACCACTTGTGTTGAAGCCTGTTTCCCATTAGAGAGCCTGATTCTCCTCCCTTTCCGGTCAGCTCACGGGTCCCCGGAAGAACAACATGGCTAAAAGAGCTATTTTCTAATCTGCTTAGCCTAAGACCGTGGATCACATATATTGTATGTTATACTGCAATTTAAATGAAAACTAATGATGGGTGTTTCGTAGCTGCTACTTGCCAAATGGACAGATTTATGCTGGTTCTTTCCCCCTGAAAGAAGGATTTCAAGTTCGCTAAACTTACAGCTGTTTTTCTCCGTGTCTGGTTTGATGATGTCACTTTAGTGATGTGTATTTGTAGTCCTGGACTTATTTTCACACAAAACCTAAAATAACGTTTCCTCCCGTTTGAAAAGAGCACATTCCTGGTATCAAAGTGCGTCTTTAAAATTATTTTTATTTTATTTATTTTTTTACCGTGTCCTGTCTGGCTGTGAAGCAAACAGAATTAATGTCTGAATGCTGGTGACAAGCCTTACAGATTTACTCTCAGGTGGAGCATCAAAGCTTCTGCTTTTAATGTCACGCCTGATACTTAAAACTTTATTGTTGTTGTTTTTTGAATGCTGTGTAATTCAGACCAGACTCGGAGACGGGGGGGTGGGGGGGTGGGGGGGGGGGGCAAGAATAAACAATCAATGATGAACAAGAGTCTGCTTCTAGACCTGCAGAAAAGGGACGCACAATACAACAGGAGCAAGCTATCACTGCGTCAACTTGATGAAAAAATGTAAATTCAACGTTGTTTTACTGAACAATCACTATAATAAATCACAGTGCATTTAGTGCCAACCACAGCCTTAAGACATGTGTTGAACGTGCCCAAGTCCATACTTTTGAGAGCACCATGTGAGCACCTGTGTGTGTACACGCGCTTGTTTATGTAAGGTTTCTCTATAGGAGCGTCCAATAGAGAGTGTGAGGGGCCACAGATCTGCCCCCCAAAGATGTGTAGGAGATGGAAGGAGCTCCAAATCCCAGAGATCTAGGAGCTGCCCCAGAGCATAGGGACCCGAGGGAGACTGCAACCAGAGAAGCCCCTGCCCCTCTCAAGAGGCGCAGAGGATTGCCCCTGGGGGCCACAACCAGCAGCCGGCAGAGTCCCGGGAGATATCGGCGGCAAGCCCACAGGCCCGGCCGCAGCCTCCCACCCCCTAGCCGGCCGAGCCTGGAATCCAGCGACCTGGGACCCAGAGGCGACCAGCCTCACCGGGACCCAGCAGAGCCGTGGGACTCAGATCCCACCAGGCAGCCACCGGGATCAATCAGGCAGACGCCAAAAGTCTTAAACCCCCTGACCCGGGAGCCACGAACACTCAGGCGGACCAAGGCACCGCACTCCACACCTAATGTGGCAGGGGGAGGGGAGACGAAGATGTATATCATCAAAAGAAGTCTAGGAGAGGGGAGGAGTCAAAGGCCCCACCTGAAATATACAGTCATACACACAGTCACACACTCCCTCCCTCATGCTCACACATACACATACAATCTTAAATGTACAAAAATGCACGCCAGACGCCCACTCTTGCTCCCCATACATATCCTATTCACTCTGGTCCTGGTACTGCTGCACAATGGGTACAACCATCACCGGTTCCCAGAGTTCGGCCCTTTCTACTGGGGTGCTGATGAGCAGGCTCTCCCGCCCAACGCTGAGCAAAGCAACCCACCCCAACCCATCCCTAAACTCACAGCTGTTTATCTCCATGTCTGGTTTGATGACGTCACTTTGGTGACGCGCATTTGTAGTCCTGGACTTATTTTCACACAAAACCTAAAATAAAGTTTCCTCCCGTTCGAAAAAAGCGCATTCTGGGTATCAAAGTGCGTCTTTAAAATTCACGGATGCACATAATAAGCGGAATTAGAAAATATTGTTTTTAGCCCCGTTGACTTGCATTCATTTTTTCGTTCCTCCAGGGACCCATGGTCCGGAAGTAGATGGGTGTGATTTAGGATCCCTATTGGCTCTGCTGATACTTGCTAACCTGTGATTGGCCGTTCCTGCCACCTGCATACTTGACAGTTCTGCATTCCTGACATTGCACAAATAGCCTCTAGGCTGTAGATTTATACGTATTTTTTGTATACTTACTGTAAAGACCCCCCCCCCCCCCCCCCTTCTGGTCCTCATGCCAGTTGTGCCCTCCCCCCGCCTCTAAAGTCAAACGTACGTCCATGGCTGAACAGCACAAACAACAAGATCATAGAAAAAAAGAAAGACGAGCAATAATAAAACAGCATAAAAAAGATCTATTTACGTTAATTCAAAATACATTAAAACTAGACTTTAAAACATTTAAAAAATAAGAGCCACAAATTATCTTACATGAAAGCCAAGCAATGCAAGTCTTCAACCAACTCCTGAAAACTGCAGTGACAACTCAAGAGAGTTGGGGCTAGAAGGAAAAGGCTTGATTGGCATCCCTTCCTTGTTGGGTCCCCTTGTGGTATTTTGTGCTCCTCATGTTCCTGCTGTTATAGTTATTTAACAGACGTCACTTTAGTTTGCCTGCTCGCCTCTGGAGTCTGAACTGGTCTTCTTCTTTGTTGCACCATGGCAAACTTTAATTTTTTGGGATGGACTGTAGTGTTTTGGTTCAACTGAATAACTAATTTAAAACTGTTTTGTTTTATTTTAACATATTTGTTATTATTTAAAACACATCAAACCCAGGTTTATTGCATTCCAGGTTATCCTCCCCACTCCTTTCTTATTACTGAATCATGACCTTTGACCCTGAAACATACCACCCCATGTTGTTCTGGGTTCTTTTGTTCTTGAATTTACAACAAGGCATAACGTCTTGCTTTTTGAGATCGTTTAGCCGACTCCACGTTGTCACACAGGTTCTGTTGAAGTGATTTCTTAATGCTTGGTAAAACTGAACTTGGCTTTCCAAATAATGTGTTTTATTAAGAAAATTCATGACTTAATTGTTTCTTTATTCTTTTTTGTATTCTTTAATTGCTTTTTTTAATTAGTCGATGAAATTGTCGTTTAAAATCAACAAATAACAAAAAGCATTGCACAATAAAAAGACATAATCTTCAGGATGCTTGATAATTAATTGAGCTTTAACAGGATTTGTTCAGAGTGTGAAGACAGACTGTTTCTAGACAGAAATCTACAGCAACGTTTTATAATTGTCTAAAATACAGTTTAGTAAATTTACATCCAACTCATTTAGCTTTTCTTCATAATAAAAACTAGCACAAAGGAATGAATAAATAAAAGCGAGTGAATGGGCATTTGTTTGGAGCGGTTCTAGGATGAGAGCACGTTCATTCACCCACAAAGCATCTCGATATTAAAACCTTCATGAATTTCAATTATTCCTTTCATTGATCTGGTTTCTAAAGGACGGTTTGGTTACTTATCTCAGGTGGGAAAAGGATATTATGTTCATAGAGAAATGTTTCTCATTAAACGTTCAAAGCCAATGGGACTGAAGCTTGGGCAAACACAAAAATCCTCTTGGGGAAAAAACATTTGGATCAAAATAACAAACAAAAAAAACCATAGGTTAAAAGAAGAATGGTCTGAAAATCATCACGTCTCCTGTCTATTTTCAGAGTATCAAAGCATGAAAAACGAACCAGTCGTGCTAAAATCCTGGATCATCTTGATGCAGAGCGTCTTCCCTGTGGACCCAGGAGACACGCTGCTATAGAGTCAAGCAGACATATATAAACCATCGCCGGAGTAAAGGGCATGTCATCGCCAAAAGTAGGGCGATGTCTTTGCTGTCTGCCATCTTAATCTGCACGCAGCTTCCTGGCAACCTGAATCCAAAATGCTCACTGCAAAGTAAAGAAACACAAACGTGATTTTGGCTTAAAAATTTATTTATGTTCTTAGTTTTTGTACAAGATGCTGCAACTGTTTTGTCTTAATATTTATATTTCTAAGACCATCTTTATGTCTCTGCTGTTAATTACAGCAACAAAAGGATGATTTGAAAGTACTTTTTTTTAGCATTACTTGACCAAACTCAGTCTGCTTTAAAGCTCAAGGTGAGCTAAACTTGTCAGACATGAGTGAGAAATCACGGCAAACAACCGACACTCTGATTCGATGTCCTAATCTGAATTTGTGTGTCTGTCCATCTCTGGTAAGGGGTCGTCAGTGTCACGGAGCAGATCTCTTTTGGTGTGTTTATTGACCTAGTTCCTGTGGCTGTGAGTGCCGTCCCTTTGCTGCCTCTGATGTGGACAGGCAACGCACACAGTGTGAGTTTGTTCCTGTTGGGTGGTGTTGCTAGGGACGGCCGGAGAGGCCTGAGGACAGAGGTGGCCTAATGCATGACGGAGGAGAGACGGACACAGCTGGGCGACGCTGGCGAGCCCATTTCAGCGGGCAGCTGAGGTCTGCGATAACAGTTTCATACACAAAGAGACATCAAGTTTAAAATCATTCATTCATCAAACATCCGTGAGGTATTAACTTCCAACTGACAAAACTGTAGAAAGTTTGTTTTTTGTCTTTTTTTAAATTTAGTTTAGAATTGACAAAGCTCTTCGAATTTGAAGCAAAGCGTCTTCAAAAAACCAAAGAAGTCCAGTTGCCTCCGTTATGAGCCTTTGGATTCAGGCCCTGTCCACACGTAGCCGGGCCGGGGATCTGCCAAAACGTAGATGTTTTTCTACGTGTTGGCCTGTCATCCACACGAAAACTGAGTTTTTTCACACGAAAACGGAGTTTTTTAAAAACTCCGGCCAAAGTGAAGATCTGCGTTTTCTCCGTTTTGGGTGTCTGCGTGTGGACGGACAAAACCGGAGTTTTAAGGTCCGCAACGTCACTTTCCGCGACAAAAAAATGCTGACATCACGTGTGCGACCTGTGTTTACACTAGCCGACAGCATGGATGCCCTCAGAGCTGCGCTCGCTTTTTCAATGGTCCAAGCGCTTTTTGCTTGTTTGTTTTTGCAAGTGGAATTACTGCTCCTTGTGGAAGACCACAGACGAAGGACGAGGTTAAGAACGGGGGAAGTACTGCCGCCTACAGGTCTGGCATGTCCTTAACAACGTATTTATCCGGGTACGTGTGGACAGAGTTTGTTTTTTTAAACGAGGTGGTGTGGATGCAAGTTTTTGGAGGGGCGGATATTCGTTTTTAAAAAACCCGGCTACGTGTGGACTAGGCCTTAGTTTTAGGTTTGAGGTTTTTTTCCTCTCACACCTGTTACTCACCTGTAACACCTATTTGCCATCCACTAATCAGCCCTCCCTGCATAAATACTCCTCAGTGTGTTGATTTTCCTGCCAGATTTGTTTGTTGCGGTTTTGTTTTATTTATTTTTATTGCGCACTAATCAGCTTTTGGTTTTAGTTCTGACGGGTATTTATTTAAACTTAGTTCTCAGACTCTGTCCTCACATGTGCGCCCAACAGAGGTAGCTCAAACATTTTAAGCAATCTCAAGTATTTAATATTAAAACAGACTGTGAGTCATAAAAAATTATTACTGACTTGGACTTGGTTAACCAAATTCTGGTTCAAAGTCTCCTTCAAATCACATTTTCATTTCATGGTTTAAACTCTCTGTGATCATCTGAAAGTCTCAGCCTGAAATGGTAGAAATACTCTGTTGTAGCTACCTAGGGAGGAAGTGATGGATCTGACATGGCCATGACACAAAAGTGAGGAAGAATAATGACGGGATAACTGATACAAATCTGAATAAGTGAAAAACGCTGTTATTTTGGTGCATTGTTGCTTTGTTGTCTTTAAAAAAACACACATTTAGATCAGTGAAATGAAAAGTTTGATCCTTAGAGCACCGGCTAACCTTGGTTTTATCTGTAACTCTTACATATTTATCCATTTGTCCAGTTGCTGCTCCCTCTTTGTCATGTTTGGGGTTAGGGTGATGAAGCTTAACACAGCAGACCAGAGATTAGGTGGGCACGTATGGGAAGAGCAGCTCAGAAAGATAAGATGGGGCTTAATCCATAAGGGCTTTGTAGACAAGCAGCATCTTGAATTGAAACCAGTAACAGGGACACTATGTGAATCCCAGTCATGCAGATGCTGACTCTTAACGGCAGCCTATATTTATTCAGTTTTGGATTTCTGGAGAAATCTGACAGATGGATAAGGAGAGACAAAGCTCCAGCTGAGACTGAAATCCGTTACACTATAGTCTAAATTTTAAACCTACATGCCTCAAAGCAGAAATTTAGCGTTTTTCACCATCGAGAGCCAGAAAAAATGCGTCACACCTCTCTTCCTACTGCCATGATTATGGCTGGAAGCGACATCTCTCTCCTCTAGCTGACCAACAGAGCTAAAAATGCATAGTTTGACAATGATTGTTATTCTCACTTTATTCTGTTTTTATTTATAAATATGTTTTTTAAAGTCTTACTTTTCCATAAGAAATGTTGCAAACTCTGCATCATTTTAGGTACTTCCAGAAACGCTCAAACATGCTCTGTGATTGACATCTGTACATAGGTGGATGTCTAACGCTACAGGGAGTCTAAGTCTCCTCCCTTTCTGGTCGGCTCATGGGTCCCCATAGGATCGAAAAAATGAATGCAAGCCAACGGGGCTAAAAGAGTTATTTTCTAATCTGCTTTGCCTTATGCACTGCATGGATCACACATATGTTGTACTTCAATTTTAATGAAAGAAATGAAGTGAGTTTCGACCACGCCTGTCATGTATTTTGAGATTCATCAGCTTGTAAAAATTTGCAATTAGCTTGACTACAAATCAGACATCAGCACGTCGTAGAATTTCCTCTCCCCTAGCGTAGCTGCTACTTACCACGTGGCCAAATTTATGGTGGTTCTTTCCTCCTCAAGGAAGGGTTTAAAGTTTGCTGAACCCTACTTTTCTCCATGTCTGGTTTGGTGATGTCACTTTGGTGATGCGCATTTGTAGTGGACGAATTTTCACACATAATGTAAAATAACGTCGTATTTTCTTATTAGAAAATAAGAGCATTCTTGGCATCAAAATGCATGTTTAAAATTAACGGACATTATATATGAAATCCATGAAACACAACAAACGGAATTAGAGAATTGCATTTTTAGCCCCATTGTCTTGTATTCATTTTTTTGTTTTGTTTGTAGTCCTGGACTTATTCTAACACACAACCTAAGATAATGTTTAACCCCGTTTGAAAATAAGCGCTTTTTTGGCATCAAAATGCGCCTTTGAATTTCACAGATAACAAAAGTGAAATCCATGGCACACAACAAAACAGAATTAGGAAATAACATTTTTAGCTCCATTGACTTGCATTCATTTTTTTCGTTTTTCCGGGGACCCATGGTCTGGAAGTAGATGGGCGTGACTTAGGCTCCCTATTGGCTAATGCTGATGGCGCTCAGTTCACATTGAATATTACGGGATGGAGAGTGGGCTTAGCCAAACAAATATTGCCAACATTATACCACAGTGCAGAGTTAGACTATCACTTTTATGAATTTCTAAACATGTATAAACAATTCCTGAAAGGTGGAAGATTGCTGACCCAAAGGCACACAAGGAAGTTTTGCATGCTTTTAGCACCCCCTAGTGTCTGTTATTAATTCTCTGTGGTAAAACCGAAAGCAAAAATCTCTGCTGTGCGTTTGTCATTTAAACACTTTCAAACACAGCGACAGCTCATGGGGTAGAGGGGGTTGTCCAGTGATTGGAAAGTTGCAGATTCCATCCTGGCTCCCAACAGAGAATGCTGCTGCTGTTGTGTCCTTGGGCAAGACACCTAACCTGCCTTGCATGCTGCTTGTGGTGATTGGCGGGACCGGTGGTGCCTGTGTTTGGCAGGCCTCAACTCTGTCAGTGCACCCCTGGGTAGCTGTGGCTGTATCGTAGTTCATCATCACTAGCATGTGAATGGGTGAATGATTGTGTTGTGAAGCACCTTGTGGGGTTGCAGAACCCTAAGAAGGCACTAAGAAAATACAGGCCATTTTATCATAATCTAACAGCTAAAATGTCTCCTCAGCCTTCATTAGTGTCTACAGGATCAATTCATTACTAAATTAAACATTTAGCTCACAAACAAAAACATGCTG